CCCCAAAACCCCAAAACCCCAAAACCCCAAAACCCCAAAACCCCGAAATATTTATAAAAATTGAACTAAATTAGAAAATGTATTACTCCAAAATGGTACGGTCAATAGCCATGGTGGTATAGGATAAGCCGAATAAGTTCATATCGGTTAATTCAATGTTGTCGAATATGAAACTCAGGGCGACTAGTCCAAGTGTTAAGTTCATCTTTGATACATTCAAGAACTCTCTCAGCAAGTATGATGCATCAGTTTTTACTACTTTAGAAATCAAATTGAAGAAAATCATTGCAGAGTTGATAGTAATCTAGCTTATTTAGAAACAGAAATTAATATTTAGAGACAAGACTTCGATCAAATAAGAGCACTTCGTTAACAGCCCGCCTAAGAAGGCAGAAATTTGCAAAGAAGCGTGGTCTGGTGACTCGAGCGATCGAGTCATATCAGCAATCTGGGATGCCTTCACCTCGTATTTCAAAATATAAAACTTCTCTTTTAAAGAATCCAGATAAAAAGTATGATTTCTACCTAAGACCTAGACTAAAAAGAGCTAAAAATCTCCAAAACCCCTCTCCAAATCATCATAAATAAGCGTCCTAGAACATCAACAAGAAGCGAGATTAGGTAATTTGACTGCTAATTCCCTAGCCGGAACATTTTGGATCAAATAAAATAAGTTGTCTCTGCCGAGGAAGCCTGATCCTAAGCAGATTCATATCTCTGCGCATAAAGTTAACTACTCTCCTCATCCTGGAGGTAAGTCTTCACTGAAATAGCCCTGGCTAGTGACATACCTGGCATGGCTCTAATATTGCCTGTGCAGGTTGCTAATTTATTTAGAGAAGCCAAAGAGATCCTCTCCTTCACCAAAACCAATGATCAGACAGCCTAGAGCGCCTAGGATTCCTAAGGATAATACTTCCAAGATCCTGTCTTTGTTATAAGAGGTAAAACACAGAGCTAGATCTGGTATTAAAAGGGACCCGCTCATCGCAATCATAGGGCCGTTGTCTCATATTTACAATTCGTTCTGTTTAAAGTTGATTGAGATGACTAATACTAACAGATCTGAATAGCGCCTGCAAAACACAGACTTTTCCAACCAAATAAAACTCAAAAGCAGTTGCATCAGAAGCCTCATGCAAAAGTCAATTCATATAGTAAGAAGGTACGAGTTGAGAACCAGAACGTTAAAAATTAATTTTTGTCGGGAAATTAAGATAATCTAGAGAGTAATTTGAGGCAATGAGGATCTGAGCTGTGTCATTCAGAAGAAGCAGAAATTTGGCAATAGGAGAAAAAGCTACGTAAAAGGTGAAGATATACATAATGGGAGTAACATATCTAAATTAGGGTTTTTGAGACCAGGTTTTAATTCAAGACCTATATTGTCATGGGAAGCAAAAATATTCGGTCAGAATACTAAATTCGCTAAGTAACAAAATTCAATAAAAATAATTATACTGGGGTTTTGGGGTTTTGGGGTTTTGGGGTTTTGGGG